TCGACCTGCTGCAGCTTGTTGCCACACGCCGGGGGCTGCTGGCCGGGCTGGCAAAGCCTTGGCCTGGTAGTCGGTGCCAACCCCCGGCACTATCTACCGGTGCGGGAAGGGCAGGGTGGGGTGGGACCCCCCCCCCAAAAAAAAGGGGGTTCGGTGGTGGTTGGGGTGGTGGTTTTATTTTTTTTATTTTTTTTTTTATTTTATTTTTTTTATTTTTTTAAATTGTTTTAAATTTTTATTTTTTTAAATTTTTATATTTTTTTTAAATGTTTTGTATTTTTTAAATTTTTTAATTTTTTTTTGTTTTAAATCAGTGTCACTCACTGCTTTACCCATCCCAGCAAACAGCCCTCGGTGCCACCCCGGTCAGCAGTGCCTTGTCCCCATCAGTGTCCCCCCCCACCAAGCCTCACTCAGGTCCCCCCACGATGGGGCGATGGAGGATGCTGGGGATGGTGGACACGAGTTAAAATCCATGGATGCTTTTTCCAACCAAGTGAAGCCCAGAAAAAGCTCCCCCCCCACACCCTCCCCACCTCCACAAAGGGGATTCAGGGCTGCTCGCCCCATCTCTAGCCAAGCCCTGGGGCACGTGGTGGGGCTGGGGGTGCCCCTGCCCATGGTGGGGCTCACATGAGGGTGTCTGGCTCCACCAGCCCTCCTCTTCAACCCCCCCGAAGCACCTCCGTGTCCCCCCTCTCTCCTCCAGAGCCACGTGCAGCACCTCGCCGGCAATTAGGGCTCCTTCCCCAGAGGAGCGTGATCCACCCCGGGAGGAGATAACGCCCTGCTGAGTCGGGAAAAGGCATTTTCCAAAGGATCAGCCACATGGGAGACCGCTGCCAGCTCCCACCTCTGCCTGGGAAGGGGGGGGCAGACCCCTAGAGACCAGTCAAGCACCAAAGCCCCCCCAGAAGAGAGGTTGGGAGGGGGGCAAACGGGCAACCCGATGTACCCAGCCCTCTAAAACCCCCTTGCAAAAATGTGAGGGGTGGGAATCACCCACAGCTCCCACCCCCCTTCGAGGGAGCAATGAAGCTTTATGTGGTCGGGGGTGTGGGCGGGGTCTGCAGCCCCCAGCCCCAGCGAAGGACTCACCACCAGCCCCAGCTTCAAAAACCTCAGGCTGATCCCCCAGTATCTCGGCTGCTTTGGGGCTGATTCATCCTCCCCTACCCCCAGAGGGCTCCGTGGGGAGACCCCTCCCCGACCCCCCCAGGTGGGGTGGGCAGCTCGGATGGGGTGTGTGATACTTCAGCCTCAGCTCGAGCTCTTCCATCAGCCCCTGCCAAAGGGGGCTGAGCCACTGCCAAATTTTGGGTTGCAACGGGCTGAGAGGAGGCTGCAAAAACCTTCTGCTCCACCGGTTTCACGAAAATCAGCGGGGGGGGTGAGGGGAAGAACCCCAGGTCCCTGCACAGGGGCTGCAGCATCCCCCCGTGGAGCACCCCTGGGTGCCCCGAGTGATGAAGAGGAGCCCCTCAAAGTGTGTCACCCCCTGAGAGGGGGGACACCCAGTTCAGCCCCCCAGGCTGGCACGCTGGCTCCTGTCCCATCAGTCGAACTGGCCGTGCTGGAGGACTGGGCACCCCAGTGGCTCCGTGATGGCAGGCAGGAGGTGGAGGATGCTCGTGGCCATTCCTGGCAGCACTGGAAGGAGGTGACAGCCCACCCCGTCCTCACCCACCCTCCCCAGTCTGTGGGGACACTGACAGCCATTGAGTGGGGGGAGAACAACTCTTACTTTTCTAGAACTTTGGGAACTACTTACACTGCCACCCAGACTTTGGGGCTTTCCTGGCCACTCTATCCTCAAAACCACCTTTTTTTTCATTTTTTCCCAGCACT